GTATGTTAATATGACGATTTAGCTTTAAATAATCTTGATTTTCAATTTCCTAACAAATATCTTACAACTTATCTAAGGCAAGAAATTCACTATTAAAATCGATTGATTTTTCTCATTTGAGGTCTATGGGCAAAAACGAAACATATCACAAGAATCAGCTCGTCAAGCTCTACAAACTGGTATATATCCCATTCAAAACTGAGACTCACACTTGGGGATGTTCCCTCGTAAGCAGAATATAAAAATGGATACACAAACTTTTTCCTCATATTACAACGTGGAAAATAAAAAAAACCGACTAAAAATCAAGCAGAATGGATTCTGTTAATCACACACGAGAATAGAACATTTGTCTTGATCACGATGTTAAGCACAAAATATTTGATGACCATAAAGATAGAGTGATAAGAAAAGTATTGAAACAGTTTACCTGCCGAAAATGACCTTGTCTACATTAGAAAAGTTAATACTGAATTAAAAAATGTGGTTGGTTGAAAAGTTAATTCAGATTTAATGTACTTTTTCAGAGACGAATTAAATTTAATGCACCAATCGAGAAAGACTGCGATTTACTAATCAAAATGGTGAACGTGTCGATAGATAGATGTTTTCGATATATCGTTTCCTTTGTGAACATATGCTAGAATTATGCACTTCAACTACATTATAGTAGACATTTCTCAGTTCTGATTGATGCATTAAATTCATGAGTATAGACGCGTGTAGCTTCAATTCGAAATCAATGCCGAATTACTTTTCTAGTATAGACAAAACCAATGGTCGCTGTCGATAAGATGTTTTTTCTTTCTTACTGTTGGTTGAATCAGAACTCATACAATGTCTTTATAGATCAATAGATGTCACACGATTCCCAACACAGTCTTTGAGCAAGATATCCATGTCATCACTTTTATATAGATACTGCCGATTTTCGGCGCTGTAGGTAATACCACCGGTTACGTTATTTATTGACGATTTCTAGATACTGAACTTCAAAATATAGTTTCACATAACTTTCATATGTTTCCATTCATAAACAAGCTATCATTAACATTTCATCCATGCTCTTAATTTAGTACGTATATAACTTTTTTCCAATTATTTTCTATTCTGATATCTGAACTGGTGAAGTGAAAATGAACAATTACTACGCTTCATTTATAAGTCCCTAGTATCATAAAACGCGACTGCTATTCCATTCTACTTTTATAATTAAGAATAAATTATAATTCTATTTTATTTTATCCTATTTTAATTTATTTTGTTTTTTTTTTCTAAATATCAATAATTATTTGTAGCATCAAAGTTCAATAAATTTATTTACAAATGAAAAATTTCATTGCATTTAGAATTTGTACATGTCTTGTGAATGTCTATGGTTTTGATAATAAATTAATTTCATAATTAAAATGAATAAATTATTAAATATTATATGTAAATATATCGAAATTTTAGCATATAATTAATAATATTTATATTCATTTCATTACCATCAATAAATGTTTCTCTTCTACAAACAAGAAGGTGTAAATAAAGTTGTTCTAAATTTGACATTCAATGATAAGATTTGATTCTTGAACGTGTGAGTGAAACAGAAGGAAAAGATTTTAAAAAATATAGTAAGAAGAATATGTAATGAAATTATATATACATTTCCTTACATCTTAATATGCACACTTAATTCTTTTTTTTTAATAACGCGATAGTTTACATATATGACAACCATTAATCCTTATTTTATTCTATGGTTTTTCTTTCTGGAAATTTTTTAAAAATTTAATTTATCTATTATTGGAAGAACCGAAATAAACTTACCAGTAAAAAGATGTGTAAGTGTTTCTTCATTTATATTATATAGATCAAGTCTATTTAAATCAGGATAATTTGTAGTGAGAAGAATACGTTCCATTGAAGACGATTCAAGGTCAAGCGGCTGTGATTTTATGATGAAGTTTAGGTAAGATATACAAACAAAATTGATGAAGTATTGAATCAAGTAATGGATATGTAAACCATTTAATAAAGATATTATCAAAGCCAAAAGATTCATAAAAATAGAATCATGTATAATTTGATTTAATTGTTTATTAGTATCTATTAAAGAATAGAGTACTTTTGTATTTGTGAATTTTTTAAAAATCACGAAAACAATTTCATTAGGTAAATCATTTAATTGAATAAGTAAATGTTTCATGTTATTCTCATAAATGAAATGTTTTGATTTATGAACATCGATATTTATATAGATACATTCATTCGTCTAATTAGTAAATATTGTCAGTGAAAAAAAATGAGACGTTTATTTTAAAAAAGACAAATTGACAATCAATGGTTTCATAATATCTCATAGACTAATATGTTCTCGTTCTCTTTTTACGCAACGTAATGGCTAAGAAATTTGGAGAGTCTCTTTATTCTTAATATTATGGTTTATATGATTACAAATCAATGGCTTCATTGATACAAAATTGAAAATTATTCTGTTTTAAAAAGACCTCGCGCGTTAACGGAATCCCCTTTCCGAAGTTTCTCAAGAACGGCTGAGTGAAACTTTCTGAAACTTTCAGAGTAGATAGATCTCGATGAGTAGAGCAAAAGTTGTCATAGACTCAGACTTCGAAAATGCTTCCTTACAAGAGATATTTGCGACCCAAGGGCGAAGAATGACCTGAAGTTCCCCCCCCCCCCCCCCCGTAAACTCTTATACTTCATTGTTTAGGGCTGAAATTTTTTTTGCAGAAACTAGGAACAAATTGGGGTGTGTCTTTTTTTTTCTTTGGAAAATATCGTCCCTGAGGGTCAGGAGAGCCAAATTACTGACGGCACTATCAAAAAATGTGTTTTTTTTTCGTTTTTTTCTTATAATATCAATTTTGTGGCCCCTAGTAAAATTCCTTACGAAGAATATTTTCGAGAGAAAAAAAAAGAACACACCCCAATTTGTTCAAAATATTCACAGTAAAAATTTGAGCTCGATTAGTTGAAGTGTGAGAAGAGAAAAGGGGGGAAACTTTATTTTTTGCTGAAAAAATTGATTTTGAGAAAAACGCAAAGAAATTTGTGTTTTTTTTGGTTTTTTCAGCATATTTTGTGATTTTTTTTCGAGTTTTTTTATATATAAGATGTGGGTTTTTAGTTCTCAAAGTGTGTTCAATGGATGGAGGGCATTTAAATCTAGATACTAATCATAAAAAATGAAAAACGAAAAATATGAAAATTTTGAGTCGGGAAAGGGGGGGGTCCCCTTAAGGTGCCAATTTTATGTCATAATTTTGTAGCTTGAACCCAATGACATATTTAGAAATATCATTTTTTTTCAAATGTACTTTTAGTTACGTAGATAAGCAAAAATTTTTATCACTAAATGGCAAGAGCCAATTGGGACTTTGAACCGCAATTTTCTTTGTCATAGAGAAAGGTTTGAAAATTCTGATTTCATATTTAGAAACAGTATTATAGACCTTCCGATTCTGCATAAACACTATTTTTTCAAAGTTAGTAGAGATCGAGTAAAGATTGAAATTCGGTCACTAAAGACATATAGTGTATGTATATATGAAAACTTGACGTGACATTATCTCATGAATAAAAATTAATATATCGTCGAAACTTTCTCAAAAATTTGCTTATATATTGAGCTTTCTTTTGATACCATTACGATCCTAATTTTTTTTGTCCGAAATCCTCTTTTGATACTTAAATATTCTCAAATGTCACCATAGTGTATACAAATCCTGCTCATATTTGGCAATTTTAATCGGCAGCAATTCATTTTCAAACAAAATACATGTGATATTCGGAATCAACATCAAAATCTGAGTAGAATGACATATGTTTTATCAAAAGCTATTTTTCGCCCGAATTACATCCGTACTTCCTTCAGCAGTTGTTTCCAAAAAGGTTGTCTGTGAACCCCAACATGTAGTGTGGACGAAGGCTGTAGGTATGGATGTGTGTGTGGAGTGTAGGCGTTGTTCAAGTGAAGACTCAAATCCACACCCACACCCTATAACATTTCATTCACTGCGTCTAGCCTTGATTTTAATATGAAATGCGTTCAGTCGCGTTTAAAACGTGATCAAAACAGCATCTGAACACGCTCGAACGCTTCTATTTTGCGTTTGGTGTTTATATGGGCAGTCAGTAGTTTGGCTGTTGACTGACAAAAATGATCGTCTGTCAATCAATAGGTTATCACGAACTATGAAAGGAAGCAAGTAAAATTAAATAAAAAACGATTCGAACATTTCTGTGTATTGAAACATCAACTATATGATTATTAATATCAAAAATACTACAAATTTTTCATTAATAAAAGAATTTTATTGATGCAATTATATACTTGGACATCTGTTAAAATAGATAAATCGATCTGAATCTATTGATAGATAAATGAGGAGATTGGCCCGGTCGCAACGCTTCTAGTAGATGTAATGTGATCCGATGAACTACAACTGAGCAAACAAATAACACGTCATCGATATATGCATGTGTCAATAACCACAAACGAATAGAATAAACAAAAACGAAAAGAAGATATCAGCACTAAAGCCTAAGGGTGGTACTGACGAAGTCCTTTGACAGCTTTAGAAACTTATTGAGAATCTAGGAGCTTTAAAGAATTCAAAAGAATCTCATGGAATCCGAAAGAATCACAGAAAATCTTTAGAATCCAGAGGAATTCAGGATTCCGTTTTTTCCTCCTTGGCTCAGTATCACTTCACTTTTAAAACTATTGTTAAGTCTCTGAAAGACTGAAAACAAAAAAGCTATCATTCATTACGCTCATCTGTTATAAGAACTCTAGACGATAAGGAACTCCGTTGACAGAATATACCAATGGACAATCAAGAGAAGTACGAGAAAAAATCACATGGGAATGCATGCAGCTGATCAAGATTTTCACTGATAATGACCAATATACTGCACGTTCGATAAAAAACTAAGTCTTTTTTACGTTATAAATTCTCATAATATTTTCCAGATTATCAAGATTATATATGATTCGTTTATCTTCATTATTTAATCTTAATCGTCTATTTCAATTATCATCGATTCTTATTTTTAACCAGTTATTTACATCAGAAGTATCTACAATGACAACAGATAAACAAGGAAAAATTCTTATTAATTTAGCTGGTGATGTTATGATCGGTTAGACTTCTTCCTACTTCTATTCATAATTCAGAAGAAGCAGAAATTATTCATTATTTTCGATCATCTTTAAGTTCACGTTATCCTTGGGGTGTGGGATATCATTGCGGAGTGTAAGTGTGATGTTAGAATAACCTTAACAGACCAACACACACAATAATCGCTCCGCACCCCAAAGACCAATGTTTAAAAAAATTATAACAAAACATAGAGTCTGATCTGAGGAACCTCATGGTGTGATTTGTTAATCAACAAAAAAAGATTTTTTTGATGAAAAAACTTTTTTCCTGAGTACTACCGTCCAATTCCTTGTAATGATCGAATTAGGACGAAAAACTAGTTAGAGTGATCAAATTAAGACAGTAACGGAATAGACAAAAATTTCAACTATGTATTTTTGTAACGATGATTACTCATCGATAAGAAAAATTGACCAAAAGATAGAGCGTCGATCACTCTATCCCAGAAACTAAAACTGAACGCAAACAAATGTCGTTGAAAAAAGTTATGAGTTATTTTCTAAAAAGTATTGCAAGTAGTGATCGAATTAGGACCAGCTGCCAAATATGATATATTTCTAATTCTTTTTAACAGAATATTCAGGAGAAGAATCGATTGAGTTTGATTTGAAAAGTATTATTGGACCAAAATCACTTCTGATTCGCACTATCCTGTAATTTATCTTCAAGATGAATCCATCTTGATAATTAATAGGAACTATGAAAATTAGATATTCTGATAAGATGATAACTAGAACAGGTGAAATGGGATTCAGATGAAAATGATATCAAAATGTTGCTAAAAACAAGAAAATTCAAATAGCAATGTGAAATGACTATAAAATAATGCTTTAAATTTACTTTCGTTTTATTAATACGTTAGTTGATTTCTTCCTTTAGTGGTCATTGCATGTATGTTCTTCAAAAAAATGCACTAGAAGACATTATTCTGTCATCGTTGCATACCGTTATTTTTATGCGATTTCTCTGTTTCTACAATTGTTATAGAACTAGCTTATCCCGTGCTTTGACATCATTTATGTGAAGTAGATATTGCTTCTAAAGATTTATTTTCTTCTTCCAAGAAGGAGAGGCGAGAAGGATCGTTTGTTCCTTCAAATCCTTTCCATTCTCTCAAGTACAAAGCAAATAGATGTAAAGTAACGAACACATGTCTCTCATACACACACACACACACTACAGTAAAGAAGAAAAATAAAGACATAGCTACACACTCTTGTTGACAACAAACAATACACTCGATTCATTCGTCTTCGTTATACAAAGTCGGGTTTGATGCACACTGTAGAACCACACATGTTGGGACAACATTTATTTTCACCCGAGCAATCATGGTCGACATCACACATGTGTCCGTCACAAAGACCCCACATAGGATTATCCTTTACGGAAGTATTTGATGGACACAGGCCTGATTTTTTCACATTATCTTTCGGTACAATACAATGATGGCCGCATGGTTCTCCTATACGAAAGCAACATTTTGTGCCATCTTTACATTCATCCTTGTCGGGTGAACATGTTGATTCGCACTTTTCCGGTATCCTTACAAATCCATAGCCAGGGCACACCTTGTCAGCAGCAGCGGCGAAACCGATAATAACCAATAGTGAAACAAGTAGTGGAATGGAAGTCATCGTGCAAATACAACAAGTTTGAAATGATTAAAGACTGATGAAAAGAAAACGATGCACGCTGTTTTTATAATCGATTTACCATTAAAAAAAACAGCAGAACTGCAGGTGAGAGAAAAAGAAGAAAAAAGAAAGATAAGAGTAAATACGCAACAGAAGGACATTATTCTCACACTGGAAAAATAAAGTCAAACAATCAAGGTTTAAATATTGATCAAAGTGCAACATATAAAAAACCACTTAGTGAAAAATATTTATCAAAAAAAAAACGGCAAAGAACGCGTTCATGAAAACATGGAAAGTTGTCTTTTATGTGAAGAACGTGCTCCACAGTTTAGTGAGCGGGTTCGTAAACGAAAAGAAACATGTTGAGTCTAAAGGAATCCATTCTTTGCTGTTCCGGATTATTACAGAATGCTTTCTTTTCAGCTTAAAAGCCCTCTCTATCTGGATAGAAAGCGTTCTGAACCGTTCTATAAACCAATAGAATGAGTTTCTATCCATTTTTTTTGAAACGATTAGGATAGAGTTCTATCCCAATGGGTTGACTTTCTTTTACGTTCTCTAGGGAAACACCTGAGAATGGTTTCTTTGAACTGATGAACGCATTTCAGACATTCTAACATCATTCTTAGAAAAAAAAAGAATGTATTCTCCAGCGTTCCTCTAAATTGTTGAATGCTTCATGTGGATTCAACGTCGATTTTGATTCAAAATTGATAGGGTGTGGGTGTGGGTTACGAGATGCACTGCAACCACACCCAACATGAAGCGCGCCGGCATAAATAATATTTGCATTATTTTTTATTAGTTTGTATTCAAGCACATTATCAATGTTGTTTTAGATTAGTTTCGATTTAATCGATTGTTGAAAAGCAAAAATTGAGAGTAACAGATTGATTTATATTATTCTAAGATATAGATTCATCTGTTTTCAATTGATTAATTTAAAATTCCATAATCATTGATATAGATCGTGCCATCATCAGTATGTGCCGTCCTTTACGATGTTCCATTGCTTCGCAGTTATGTACGATAGATAAGATTTACACTCATGATAATTTCCTTTACGTCCTATAAGGGGTTGATGGTTTTTTCTTTTCCTTTTGTTTTTTTTTGTTGGAGAGATATACGGATATCGTTTTCATATGTCATTTCTTCGTTCTTCGAGCCCTAGCTTTATATTTTCTTTGTGTGTTGACATAAATAAAAAACATGATGTCATACCATACCGACTCATGATTACTAATAAACGCATATTGGAATGATGGTTATTTCCTACTGATTTCTTTTCTTCTGAAGGTATTTATAGATCAATTTTATTGGGTTTCGATTCATTAATCGATCCACTCTTGTTGATTACCAACACATCTACACATTGTAAAACTCTAACAATATTGCTATCGATACACTTGGTTTCCACCTGGTAAGGATTAACTGTTAAGATAAATGAAACTCAGTCTCAAGTTTTTGGGAAACTCCAGTGATGACGGTGGAAATTTTATGAGACGCATTATATAGGAAATTATACCATCAGTTCTCCGTTAAGCTCTAAGGATAATCAGGGTAAGTTTTAAGAGGCATAACATGTAGAAAATTACATCTTCCGTTTCCTCTTAAGCTTTAGGGATGTTGGGAAAACTTTTTTGCAGTATAATATACGTTAATTCATACTCCCAATTCCACAAAAAAGAGGTCTAAGAATAATGAGAGTCACCGTTTAATGGATGTACATAACTGAAATGCTATCCGTAGGCTTATGAGAAGCTTTGAAAATGATCGGTAAATTTTATGAGATATAGTATATATGATATTCAACTCTTCGACGGAATTGAATTTCAGTTCAAAGCTTATAATTTTCTGGACTTATGAGAGGCCTACTCTGTTCCGAATGAGTACAAAACAGATTATTTGAAAAATTAGACTGATTAGCTTCTTGATAGTCATTGTTTAGCTATGACTCTCACCTATGTAGCCAATTTATAGAAGTAATGTACATTGCAATGCATTATTTTTCAATAGAAATACAATAGATGTAATTACATGACAATGCAGCCCAAGTAATGGATTATAATACATTATTCTTTTAACTTATTGCAATGCATTAAATATCAATACATTCCAATGCATTATTCGGGTTGCATTATCATGTAATTGCATACATTATTTCTTTTAATGCATTATAATACATTAACGACTTTATATTGTCTACTCTTCTCACTACATTCATATAAATATATCAATAGATCCACACTCTTCCCCAATAACGTTAACCCTATATCCCTACACATGTATCTCTATTTTTATCTTCATTCTTATACCTTATTTCTATACCCCTTCTCTTCTATACCTATACCCCTAAACCTACATTCTTATAACTGCACGTCATATCTATACCGTTATTCCTTTATACCTACAACGATACCCTTATAGCGACATCCGTACGCCTACAGTTGAATTCGTGCGCTCTTATCTGTATGCATTGATAGCTATAACGCCATACCTATATAGTTACTTTTATAGTAATGTACCTATATGAGCACGCTTCATGTCCATGCTTGCGTCTGTAACATAAGACTTGTATCCTTCAAAATCTACTATGATACTTATACTCTGATCCCTATACATTTATCTCTATTTTCTGTACACAAGGTCCTAGACGTATATCTTGATGACTCTACCGTGGTGTCTATGCCGCTGCGTCTATACTTTTATTGCAGTAGCTCTCAGTCTCTGCATTACCGTCTAACTCACGAAAACTGTTTTCCATGAGAATATAGTGCATGGGAGAAAAGCGAAAATTCAGAATTTTATGGTACTTGTTGCGCACACAAAAGCTATTTTCGGAAATCTCACACCTATTCCATGTACACTATCCGAGTTTATTACGAGTATATCATTTTAGCTAATGATCTATGATTTTAGCTGAGGACAAGCATCACACTGTTTCATGAAACGGGGATGCTTAAACGTCAGTGAAGCCCAATGAAATATTCGATGATGACGTTCAAAATACTAGTGAATAATTTACTCAAATTTACATGTTCGTAATACAAATGTGTAGTAGGCGTCAAGTAGTCATGAGACTCGAGGATAGCAGTGGCGTCCACTTGGATTAAGATGAAGTACAGAATTTTTGCTCTTTTGTCTTGGATACAGTCGCACCGATATCCCCTGAACCCTCATACTTATGACAAAAATCTATGGCTACATATTTATGTCTACAGCCGTAGATGCATACTTATATGTCTAACTGCTTTGAATATTCGTTGGATACGGTTTCTGAACAATATATGTAGAACAATAGAAATATATGATGTGCTTTTAATCGAATCTTGGTACTTCACGCCATTAAACGAATAGAGTTAGCTGGCGTGAATGTCTATTTATGAACAAACACAATAGAGATCGGTTGTCCTTGAATAAACTCTCAGCGGTCTTGTATGGGGTGTTTTACAATATTATATGAATATTTTCCGCAGATCAGGTACAATTTTGTTGCTGGTTGTCAGAGACAAGTCATTTGTCTGCAGTGGTGTCGAAACATGATAAAGCTTCATTTATGACTTCTGTGAGGACTTAGCATGATGATTAAGGTCTCTGAGACGGCGAAAAATAACAATGTTTTCGATGGTTTTATATAGCTTGTAGTCATACATAGTTGTATATTGAAGTTTGGTAGACAGCACTGTGAGCGTATTTTATCATGCCTTATACAGTTGATAGCGAGTCTCAAACGGTCCTATAATCGAGCATCCGATCTCTTGCAATACAGTGAGATACGGTAGTTATACTCCGTCTACCAAACAGCGCAATAACTATCAAAAAATACCCATTTACGATCGTGCTTATCTGAGCTTATTGTTCACCATAACAATTGTCATCTTTCACCGTATTCCATAGACATAGAGTCGTTTACGATCCTGAGTGATTGATGTGATCAGTAACCAATCTGTAGTAGTGTGTTTTTTATGGATGTAACAAAAGAGTTCGTATTTTCGATCGGTTTTCTCATTGGACTAATGTTCTTGGAATAATTGTGACATGCACAATACTTTGTCATAACTTGTTTTACATTTTTGAAACACTATTTTCGATATCCCGTTTATGGTATAATAAATTATTGAAGATTAAAAAGCTATTCCAAATAATGAATTATAATCCATTGAAATTTAATGAACTATCGACCATGCAGACATTATTTTTAGTGATGCATTATAATTCATTAATTTTCAATATTTTTTGAAATTTCATCATGGTTTAAAATAATACATTGTAATTCATTGTTTTTCGATGTAGTATTTGTCATTAATAGATTATGTCAATATAATGCATTGAAATAGGAAAATTAATGCATTAATATTAATTATTTGATGAATTTCAGAAAATAATTGAAAATAATTGGTTATTTTCCCTTTATTTATCCATTATCGGCTACATGGGTCAGTTTATGGGACTAATTTGCTTTGCGTTGTATATATTTTCTATCGACAGATATAAAAAGTTTTCACTCGAATTGAAGAATATGTGAGCATACATATTAATAAAAACACAGCTGTTTAAGTACTATTGATTAGGAATTACGTATGCAATAATACTACTCTGTTAGGTTTATTTCTCCTATAAGGTTATGCAAGATTGAGAAACTAAATAAGCAATTTTCCTTATCTCAAAGACCATATAAATACACACAAGATGAACATATTGCATTCCTTTTTAGTAAATTTTATTAATAATATCAAATAAATTTCAAACGCAAAAAGATATGGTGAGCAGAAACTTTTCTTACGCTTCAAAATAAATATGATTTTGATTTTTTTCAGGCTTCTTCACAACACGAACTCCGCATCGTTCTTATGGGAAAGACAGGAAATGGTTAGTGTCGAATATATCAAACTTATCTTCACTATCTACACTATGAAGACATTTTTTCTTGTGTGCCCACAATAAGAACCATTTCAGATTTCATACCGGATCCATAAAAGCTCTGTACAGATAGTAAGAAATCTTCCTTCGCACAAATAAGAAAAATCTTTTTTTTACGTTTAGTCGGACGCCTTTTTCGTTTCGTGTGTAGACATGCTTTCTATTTAAGGAAAAAGTTCAACTGGCAACTCATTGTTACATTCTCGAAGCGCTTTTCTCTCTACACAATCAGCCGAATCGATAACAAAGCAATGTGAAGCGAAAATGTATAATCATACAGATGTCAGTGGACAACAGAAAATATTGACTGTTGTCGACACACCAGGCTTTTTTGATACAGACGCGACAGTAACAAACGAAATGGTACAGAATAAAATCGCTTCACAAATCTTCGATATGACATCACCAGGTGTTCATGCCTTTTTAATCATCGTTCGCGTCGATCGTTTTACACCAGAAGAAAAAAATACTGTTGATTTTATTAAAAAAATTTTCGGTGATGGTGCTGCCAAATATTGTATTGTCGTCTTTACTCGCGAAGATCAATTGGAAGGAGTAGATGTCTAATTCGAGTTCGAATATAAATGAAAAAAAAAAAAACGGCTTTCATGTTCCAACAGGCAAAAAGCAAAAAGCAAAACTTTCTCCAACAATACACGCCTCTCGAAGTAGCAAAAACAGCAAAAGATAAATTTTATCCTAATTATAAATTTATAATTCGAATTGAGACACTTATATAAGTCTAGCAAAAAAGCAAAAGATAAATTTTATCCTAGTTATAAAATTATAATTCGAATTTAGACACTTATATAAGCCTGGCAAAAAAGCAAAAGATAAATTTTATCCTAATTATAAATTTATAATTCGAATTGAGACACTTATATAAGTCTGGCAAAAAAGCAAAAGATAAAATTTATCCTAATTATAAATTTATAATTCGAATTGAGACACTCATGTAAGCAAGGGGGAAACGGCGGATTTTTGGGATTGCCAATCCTTGAAAATCCATAAAAAATCCGTAAAATCCCAGAAATCCGTAAAAAATCCCTGAAATACAATTAAAATACGAAAATCCAGAAAAAATCCCAAAAATCCATAAAAAATCCCTGAAATACAATAAAAATCCATGAAATACATTATTTAAGTCAGTCGCATATGACGAACATGTTGTTTGTTTGATATCGACGAAGTCATATTTTTGTATATTTCGCTTAAAAAAATTGTTTTTGTTAGATAAAATGTGTCTAAAACATAACAATCTTACAAGATATTCTGTAAGCTAGAATGTCAAGGGGGAAACGGCGGATTTTTGGGATTGCCAATCCTTGGAAAACCATAAAAAAATCCGTAAAATCCAAGAAATCCGTAAAAAATCCCTGAAATACAATTGAAATCCGAAAAAATCCCAGCAATCCAATAAAAAATCCCTGAAATATTATGAAAACCTATGAAATACATTATTTAAGTCAGTGAGATATGACGGATATACTGTTTGTTTGATATCGATGAAGTCATGCTTTTATATTTTTCACTTTAAAAAATTGCTATTTGTTAGATAAAATGTGTCTAAAACATAATAATCTTACGAGATACTCTGAAAGCTAGAATTTAGAACGCCTTGTGACAGTGTGTATAAAGACAACAGAGCAAGGGGAAAAAGCGGATTTGGGATTTTATAGATTCTAAAATCCAAAAAAGATTTTTTTTTGATTTTACGCGATTTTTTTGGGATTCTTCGGGATTTTTGGATATTTTTTTAGATTCCTGAGATTTTCTTTTCGAACTTTTAAACTTCTCTTTTCTTGTCTATCATTCGAATGCTGTATTTCCTATTGTAAAACAACGTTCTATAACCACCAGATACATTATTTGGAATAATTTGGTTGTCGTCTCTCATTCACCACAGTGGCATTCTTCAAGGATTTTGACTAGGCACCTCGTCAAAGTGCATGTAAAAAGGTGTCGCAAAACGTTCAAAGTGTGCTACTTTTTAGGGCTGTTCTATGGGGTACTCATAGTTCCTCATGCCCTATCCTATGGGTCACTCATAGGTCCTCATGGACTATCTTATGGGTACCCATAAGTCCTCAAGCGCTGTCCTATGGGGCTGCCCATAAGTCCTCTTGCCCTATCCAACGGGACACCCATAGGTCCTCATACCCTATTGTATGGGTACCCATAAGTTCTCATGGCTTATCTTATGGAATATCCATAAGTGCTTATGGCCTATTCTATGCAGTTATCATAAGTCATCATCGCCTGTCCTATGAAGGTACTCATAGGTCCTCGAGTGCTTTCCTGTGGAGCTACCCATAAATCTTCAAGCGATTTCCATGAGCAGCACCCATAAGCTCCTAACGGCTATCGAGGTTTGGTATCGTTAACTTTTCAAGGACTGTTTTGCAGTAGTTCTGGTTACTCTTCAAAGGTTATCCCATGGAAGAGTGCCGGGTACTGCTGACTGTTCAGGAGATATCTAGCGTTAGTCGTCACAGGTTTTTAAGGGTTTTTAATCACAGGACTTGGCAGACAATAATAAGGATGCTACTCGTACGTCATCTAGTAGCTGAAGTTGAATGTGGTACGGGACTGGTGTAAGGGTAATGTAAGAATCGTGTACTTGATTTTTCCTTAAAGAAGTAAAAGTGGACTGTTCTTCTTAGCTCAGCATCATTGAGTCACCTAAAGGAGTAGTTTTACTTCACAATTAGTATTACGTCGACGAGATTGCGTTTCACAAGTTTGGGTCAATTTTGAGTTACTCTTTTATCAAAGATCGGTTCAACGTTTGGTTCATGACACCTTCAGGTCCACGACTTCCGAGAGCTCAATTGAAGAGGTGCTAGAGAGTAGCATCTCATGTGAACGAGAGCTGGCTGATCATCTCCACCACGGCAAACTGAACTGGGGCTCTCGCACACTTATAAGCGCCACTGTAAGGCAGCCGTTGCGGATCTATGGGTACCGCCATAGAAGAGGCCATGAGAACTTATGGTAGCTCCCATAGGATAGCCCTCGAAGACTTGTGGGTACCCTATAGGATAGGCTATGAGGACCTCTGGATACCCTCATAGGATAGCCCTTGAAGAATTATGGATACTCCTATAGGATAGCCCTTGAGGACCTATGAGTACCCCCATAGAACAGCAGTTAAGGACTTACGGGTACTCTCATAGGATAGCCATTGAGGACTTAAAACTACCTATTTATGTTCGAAACACTTGAGAATATGATCGAAACATATTGCTGAAAACTACTTTCGATTTTGGATTTTCGGGTTTTTTGGGATTTCTTGAAATTTCTTGGGATTTTTTTGAATTTTCTCGGGATTCAAATCCAAAACAATCCGCTTTTTCCCCTTTGTAGATAGATAGTTTTTGTTCTTTCTTTTTCATTTTTTCTGATTTTTGTTGTTTTTCTTTGCTGTTTTTTCCTATAAAATACGATAAACTAAAGTCCTCTGAAGTCCCAGTTGGTGTGATAACAATCATAACAAGTGACGTGTCTAGGTAACTGGCGATGACAGATTTATTTTTTACTATGACTCAACCTATTGTCTCTCATTATAAGATTCTGTTCAAAACCTCTGAAGTACGACAAAAATCCTGAAAATCCTGTAAAAATCCACGCAATCCCGTAAAAATCCATGCAATCCCGTAAAAATCCATGAAATCTCGTGAAAATCCCGAAATCCCACGAAAATCCTAAAATCTTCTGGCAATCCGCAAAATCCTAAAAATACGAAAGAAATCCTAAAAATACGGAAAAAATCCTGAAAATCCCGAAAATACGCAATCCGCCGTTTCCCCCTTGAGCCCTATACATAATATAACTAAATTGTAAAGAATGAAGACGTTAAA